GAATTATTCTTTCTTCCATGCAAACGTACAGTTATGTTCGTCTCTGTCACACAGTTATTAGGTTTATCATAGAATTTGTGTCGATGGTATCGAAAGAACATACCCGCACTACCGCCACCTACAATTATGAAATCGTAAGACGGCATTAATAATTTAGAAGGAACATTCGTCGCGGAGTAATTAACAAACAAGTACGTGACATATAACGACATGCTCAAGAACGCCGAAAGCACCGATGCGATCGTTCCCGATTGCAATCCTCCGAGAATATTTTTTACGACATCCATTTTGCACTTCTCCGGTTTCCCTTGTCAACCTGTAATAATAAGTCTTGTTACCTTTCTAGTAATCTTACCTTTCTATGCCTAATAATCTTTCTAAAGATTTTTACACGTATTACGATTTTATCCAGTTCATATTTCGTCTTTGATAAATAAAATAAATAAATAAATAAATATTTGCTTTTGTAAATTTGTTCTCGACAAAAGATTAATAAAAGCATGTGTGTTTAACGAGCGAAGCTAATTTAATTCTTGCTCACAACAAATGAAAACGGAACCTGTACCTTTGAACTATGGTACAATTTGCCTTACACGGTCTAATTTGAATAATAACTTGCACACAATGACATTCACAGGTATCGTACGATGCTGAATATTACAGCAATAAATTTTGTTGCTGTCACTATGTCTCTTTCACAGACAGATCATGACATTGTCAGGTGTAATCGTACCGCAACGTGCCAAAAACGACCATTAAATCTGTACATTTCTGAGGTCAGTTGCTTGATACGTTTCATGGGTACGTAGTACACAGAACGAAAAAATTCTTTAAACGGCATCGATACCGAACATGACAAACATTCAGTAAATATTAATAAAATGATACGGAAATCTCCAACCGGTCGATAAGATCTACTTTTTAAATTATTTGTATGTTTATTTATTTTACTCATTTACTGATACCTCATTTGTTCCTTCAGACGGCTTTGGGGCTTTCATTGTTACATTCTTGATCAACTTATCTCTAACAGATAATAGCGCAATAAATATCTCTTTGGTAATTAGTTAGAAAAGCGTACACCTCGCCAATTTGCATGACCTTGAAACGCGTTATCAAGGTTGACATTCTGACAATCTTTTCCTATTACTATAGACATCGCCCTATCTTAGTTTCCGAGATAATCGCAAAAGACTTCAATTAAATTTTCATTACGATTGTAATTCGCCCTAGGACAGGCGGCCAAATCTTCCGAACGAAGCTTAACTCACTAGTGCGGAGATAGCAATTTTTAATTATACACAACCGCAGAAAATGGATCATAAGTCCGGCTGAACTTATAACTGTTGGCGTAAAATGATTCTCGATAAATTGATTGACACATGGACTGTTGTATCTTTCACCGATCCTCAGTTGGTCAACGATGTAACAAATAATTCTACCGTCACTGAAAAATTGTTTGCAGAAGAGACCTTGCTAAGAAATTGAAATTAAGAAAAAGAAATTGATCAATGACTTATGGGTTCGGCTGTATTAATAGCGGATGGCACAAAATAATATTC